CCTCTTTCAGAAACAGTCTTTGAGGACAGAGGACTGAAATAGTCACAGGGATCTCGGTAAACGGATAACAGTCCAGGGTGTGGATGCACTGAAGTGTGGGAAGCGAAAGAGACACCGGATTAAAGTCAACCTTAGGAAAAAGAATTTCCCATGTTTGCGCCGTGAACATGTCAGACCGTTGTTACTTGTCTGGACACATTTAGGTTATTTGACTTCATGGAGATAAAAGCAAAGTCTTTTGGGAAAGAAAGAGCTTCCTCCTTTGAATCTCACACGCCTGGTGGTGGATTGTGTTCTGTGTGGAGTAAGAGTGAAAGCAACAGGATGTGTTTTCCACTTTTCTGTCTAATCCCATTTACTTGAGTCTCTTAATAGCGAGTAGAAGGGTTTTAAGGCTTTTAATCCAGGATGATTCATTTACATTTTATACAGATATGTCAGCTCAAAACATATCCGTTTCCCTTGTGCAGCAACTTGAATAGAAGTATTGTTGCAAACCCTGCCCCTGAGGAATGCACCCTGTCAGGCACCAGCCTCCTGAGCCCTGTTACCATCAGACTCATGGCCCTGGCACCTGCCTGCGCTCAGCTGCTCCGCAGAGCCCCTCACAGGCACTTCCACAGAAGACGGTGGAGGAGAGACATTCTCCTGTGACGTGTGTAAACTGAAGCTCCCACACTTTCACTCTGGAATGGCCTTTTAGTCCTGGTCTACTTTTCAATCACTTCAGCTCAATTCCGTGAATGCCTGTTGAGGGGCCTGTATGGTGTAGGCATTGGGCATATGCTGATTATAGAAATGACTGAGAGCCAGCCCATCTTTAAGGAAATGACAGTCTATTAAGATCTCACAACACTGCCCTGGTCGGGTGGCTCAGTTGGTTAGAACATTGTCCCGATATGCCAAGGTCGTGGGTTTGATTCCTGGTCAGGAAACATACAACAAACACCAGTGATGCATAAATAGTTGGAACAATAAATCAGTGTTTCTCTCTCTTCTCTTCTTTCTCTAAAATCAATAAGTAAATGATATATTAAAAATGATAAATTTTTAATGATAAAAATGATATATTTAAAATGATATATTAAAAAGAGCTCAAAACACTACACCACATTCAGGAAAAAGTGGATGTTAATCTGGGAGAGGCCAATCACAGTCCTTTAAAAAATTAAATTGTAGAAAACATACGCCCCATTCTACCCTTTGAGGAAGATCGTTGGGCAAAGACTGCTCTGGCTAGCTCAAGAGGGTTTGAGGTCCCCCATTTGTATTATTTTGGTGACTCCTGAAAGCTTGTCTGCTTGTCATTTGGAGAGGGGAAGAAAAACCATCTTACTAAATCAGCATAGCAACCTGAGTAGGTGGAAAATGACTTTTTAGGCCTGAGTCCCACATCCTTGGCTAGTATCCTTCTATATGGGAAGCATCTTGACTTCAAGTGACTCCCCAGGGAGGAGTCCCTGTTCCCCCAGCAGGATCCAAGCCTCTTCTCTCTAGGGCATTGCACTGGCTGAGGGATTGAGGGGGGACAGAGCGCCTAGGGGGTCACAGAGTGGAAGTGATCGGAATGGTGGCACAGGACCCAGCAAAGAACAGCGTGCAGGATGGGGCTCAAGACCGCAGCCTTGAAGCAGCAGCCAACCAGAAAGGGACCATCCACAGGGAAAGCACCTGGTTTTTCACCATGACGTGTTGTTAACTGTAGGTTTCTTGTAGATCACCTTTATCAAGTTGAGGAAGTTTCTCTCTATTCCCAGTTTACTGAGAGTTTATCATGAGTGGATTTTGGCTTTGGTCAGATGCTTTCTGCATTTACTGATGTGGTACTTTGATTTTTCTTTAGCCTGCTGCTGTGATGGATTTTATGAAGGTTCAGTGATATTTTTATTAATAACCTGATGTGTACAAGAGGAGAAGAGTAATCACCTTTCTTCATACATTGAAGCCAAATATTTCTTTTGAGTTAAAAAATAATGATAGTTTGCCCCGGCCCATGTGGCGCAGTTGGTTGGAGCATCACCCCTTACACTGGGAGAGGGCAGGTTTGATTTCTGCTCAGGGCACACTCCCAGGTTGCTGGTGTGATCCCTAGTCGGGAGCGTGCAGAACACGACTGATCGACGTTTCTCTCTCTCTCCCACTTCCTCTTTCTAAACATGTCCTTGAGTGAGTATTAAAAATTAAAAAAAGAAATAATAGTTCTTTGGGTACCAATTATGACTTTTATAGTCTATTTTGTTAAGATTAAAAAAAACCCACCAATTTTTAAGTTTAAAAACATTTTTCAAAGGAGAGTTGAATTCTCTCATCCATGATGCATTCATTAAACATTAAGTTAGGAATAAAGAATAATTCTGATATTATGTTACCTCCCTGCATTACAGCAGTGAAAATACATTGATAGGCTATTGTCCCTCCTGAATTCTTTGCAAACAGGCCATAAGCATTTGAATGGACAAGGCAATCCTCAGAGGCTGGTAAGCTATTCTTTTTTTTAACTGTGAAATTGGTTCTTTATCGAAATTGGTTCTTTATCGAAATTGGATGTGACTAATTACCTTTTCTTACTGTTGCGCTGTATTTTGGTGTTCAGCATCTGTCTGGGCAGAAATGAAACTAGAACGGGTGAAAAAGTAGAACTCTAATAGCAACATCCCTCGTTGCTTGAACGTCTGTGGTAGATGGTAAACTTGGGGAAAAGTTTTGCCAGTGGTACTGCAGTAATCCACTTGCAATCTATTCCATTTTAAAATAATATACTAACTTCTTTACACTTCCTTATGTGGAAGAAACAAAAGTAAACTGAAAATGGCATAATTGTTCTTTTTGTAATTTAGGTATAAAACAGTTCTGTTGCTTATCCTTCATTTATTAAACTGAGGTTGTCTTGGATGAGCTAAGTGCTCTGAAACACTCCAAATTTATCTATAATTATCTTGGGAGGAAAAATAATGAATCGTTCACAGTGTGAATATAATTTTGTATTTAGAAATAGGATTCAAAATAGGTAAGTGGATTTTCTATCAGTTACTTATTGTAATGTTTAATTTTATGTGTCAACTTAATTACCCAGATACTTGCTCAAACATTGGTTTGGGTATTTTTGTGAGGGTGTTTTTGGAGAACTTTAACATTGAAATTGATAGACCGAGTAAAGCAGATTGCCCTCCTTAGTGGGGGTGGGCCTCACCTAATCAGTTAAAGGCTTGAGTGGAATGAAACCACTGACTCTACCATGAATCAGAGGGAACACCTCCTATCTGACTGCCTTTGTGCTGAGACATTGGTTATTGTCCACTTTTGGACTGAAATGGAAATATCAGGGTTTTTGGGTTGGGAACCTGGTGTCACTCTTTGGCCTGGACCTCACACCGACTGAAAGTCACTGCTGTGAACACTGATCATTGATGCACCTAAACCCCTTAGGTTATAATGGGCAGATCAGGGTGGTTCTGAGCCTACTGTTCAATTCTGACATGAAAAGTTAGACAAGTAATCATGTCACCTCTTGATGGGAAGTAACAGGAAGTACAAAATTCCAGTTTCTGGACCTGCCAAAACAATCAGACGTCAACCTGAACAAGCTTCTAGAGGCTCATGTTGCAAACACTGTGAGCAGGTTGTCAGCAAAATCAGAATGTGGAAAGTGCTCCAGGGCAGATGATACAGATTTTATTTCAGCAAATAAATGGCAAGAATGAAAATTGGAAGAGAGGAGGGGCATGCTGATCTAGAAGAGGAGATGTTCCAGACACCGGTTTGGATCTCTTGTGTGCGTCTGATTTGAAGAAGCAACAGAAAACAAGACATTTTTGAGATAATTGGGAAACTTGAACACTGAATGGATATTTCATGAAAACAAATTATGTATATATTTCTGGGTTGTATGTGGAGGGAAAGGTAACCAGAAGTTATAGTTGAAGCTGTGTGCTGGGTGTGCAGGGTCATTATAATACTCTCTGCTTTTGTGTACACCCGGAGAGCTCCACAGTCAAGGCAGGAGGAGTATCTAAGTTGGTAAGAAGGAAGGCGGGTGAGGGTGGTGGTAGGAAACTGTCAGGGCCGCAGGGGCTTCTGCAGTGTTGAAGAAAATCAAACAGCCCACTGGATTTGGGAACATGAGGGTCATTCAGTGGCCGCTTGAAACCTGTTTCAGTGGAGAAGGGAGCCTGGAAGCAGGATCAAAGGGCCTGAGAGGGGGTGCTAATGCGGGGAAAGGAAGGGGCCTGAGAGGAGTGTGGTCAGACAGGTTACTGCCTCGGGAGCGCGGGGCCCTGTGGAGATGAAGATCCAGGGAGCAGAGGCGGCAGGGACTCGGGAGGAAGGGGCGCTGCGTCGGCTCCAGTGTCCTTGAATGTCACAGGGCTTGGCACAGAGGCCAGTTTGGATAATGTGAATAGTTACTTAGCATCACCAGCAAGGGGTTGTCACAGGAGCTTTGGAATTTGAGTATGTGTCACGTACATTCAAGTAAATGTTTCTTTCCTTGTGTGTGTGAGACCTCTTGTTTGTATTTTTGGTGATATTTATACTTTCCTATCTTTTATCATTTTTTCAGATTGTTATACTAAAATATTAGAATGTGTTCTTATATTTCTTTAAAATGTTCTAAGTATCTAGAACAAAATTTAGAACTGCAAGTATGCATGTGTTTAAATACTAATGTGTTAAACTACACCTAAAGTTATAGCTGAGTGCTTTTACGGACCCCAATTAAATGAGCAAGGTGAGTGTACTCCCTGCGGGTGGGGTACAGTAGAGGGGGAGGTGGAGAGGAAATGAGTGGGATTAGAGGAGAAAATGACCAGGGGATATGTTTACATCGGATGTTTATTTAGGGCAGACTATGCCATCACTGTCAGTGTTTTTGTTTTTTTTTATTTCCAGCTCTATTGTCTCCTCCAAAAAGTATGAGTTTCACTGTTTATCCAGAAGCTTTAGCTTGAAAAGTAGAGTCCAAGAATGCAACATGTTAAAATAGGGCTCTTTTCTTTGAACAGAACTGTTCATTACGAGGGCGGTGCCGTTTCGGTTCACGCGAGGTCCCTGTGGAGGCTGGAGACGCTGAGAGTTGCGTGAGTAGAGCCCCTGAGGGCAGCCTCTCCCATGACAGAATTTTATCCCAATCATGCCTTTTTTGGTTGAAAAACTTTTCCTGCTCACTCATACTTCTATGCAATAAAAATATGTATATAAATTAAGTTTATTTTATATTTTTATGATATATGTCAATAACTTTAAAAAGTTCTTCTTTATTAACCCTATTACTTATTTATTGATGTTACATTTCTTCTATATAAATAGTTGGGTCAAGTGCACCTAAACATTAAAACATGATAAACACTGAACTTAAAGGTAAAATTTTATTGGAAGTACATCTCAATGAGATGGAAAAAGAAGACAGACTTACAAAGCAAAAGAAAGAAAGCTCATAGTTTTTATGTGCTTCATAAATTATTCAGAGAGTTTAGGGAAAGGGGCTATAAGGATTTGGATGTATTTCTTTTACCTTCTATAGTATGAAAACGACAGCTCACTAGAGAAACGAAAAAGTTAACACGAGTGAAGTTTGGAGGTGTGTTGTCTTCTGAACAGGTTGCAGGTGTTTTTAAGTTTATAGATAGATACACCTGCGCTTCACGGCCCTGTGCTAGAATAAATGAATTTTTTTTGTGTGTGTGAACAAATGAGGCCCTAAATTTGTCTCAATTTTTAGATTAAAAAAATGGAAGGCCAAGCACTCCCAAAAACCTGGTAGTCTTCACTTTTATTGTCAGCAATGTTGTTGATGAATTGCAACTACATAAATCCCATTGTTCCGCACATCTTTCTCTCTCTTGTCGTGGCCTGATGTTTAGAGTGGGAATAGAAAGCAAGGTACTGGTTTGAACTTTGAATGGGACAGCTGCTGCGTAGGAAGGGCCTGGCCCGGTCAGCGGAGCTGTGTCTATGCTGACTGCCTCCCAGAACCCAAGGGACCAGGTGACAGCAGGGGATGTGGTGGCAGAAGGCAGAGCCGGTGGTTTTCAATCATTTAAAAGGTTAGAGACAGACTATTTTATTCCACTCTGTGAGCCTGATTTATACCATTTCACCTTCCTGTTTACAGTAGGAAAGCAGGAGGCTCATAGGTAATGAGGGTCATTATTTTAAAGAATTATTTTTCAGGTTCTGCTGAATCTTTGAACTACTATTGCTTTATTGTAAACATACAAATTAGGCTGCATTTAATTTACACCTCTAATTATATGCAATGGCCACATAATTGCTCATTTTTCTTTATACTTAGGAAATTCTAGTCAAAGGTCCTGCTGTGTTTATTACAGATGTTTATTTCCAAAGGCCATTGTTTATGTTCTGCTATTTGGGATGGTCCATGTTGGTGCTTTTTCTCCAGTGAGGCTTCAAGCTACATTTTTGTTATAATTTATGTAGCCCAGTAGTTATATGTTTTATATTGCAAACTTATACAAATAAGTTTAATGTTGTCAAAAAATTTTCAGTATCATGAACATTTTAATAAGTTTTATTATTAGGAGTTAGATGAAATAGGAAACATATTCCAGTATTTAACCCCAATGTAAGAACTTTGTAAGCAGGACATATGTTAATTTCTGTAATGGGAATGATTGTTGCAATTAAAAATATGCATTATGTATTTTTCAAATTCTGCTTTCTTATGTTACAAATAAACAAAATCAGAGGTTGATATATCATGAAGAGTAACCACATGCTCCCCATTCTTTTGAGATAATTTGAATTAATTGTAAGTAATACACAGGGAACCGTTTTCTATGTTACCTTAGGAAATTGCTTTATATAACTACAGCACTGCTACAATTTTCAGGTTTTACTAAATATTGTTTTCTTGCCCATTGATTCTCTGGGGTTGTCCTCTTTTCTTTTGGGCCATGGGCATATGAGTAGCCATAAGTTGAAGAAAATGTGCTTAAACTTTACAATGATTTGCCAATAACTGGCCAAATTCCTTCCATTCTTACAGAATCCCCTTGGTGACCTGAAAGGGGCCCCATTAAATAGGGTTGAGCATGTTTTGCAAAATGCCCTCTAAAACTCTGGTGGAAAGCACGTGTTTGGTCAAAATTTTGGATTATTTTGAAAATGAGGTTGTTTGCTATGGTGATCAAGATGAGTCATTATCTGGAAAAATATTCAAATGCTTCTTCAAATCATGAAAGTGAATATTAAAAATAATAGTGTTTTTCATAGTATTTGCAAAAAATACACTTAATTTTATAAGAAGGGACTAAAGCTTATTATCAGACTAGAAGTGGTGCAACATGCTGTTGTTGGTAGAACAAACTTTAATTCACTTTTAAGATAATATGGTGTGATTATGAGTGTTTATTGGCACATGGTTATTAATTTAGTTGGGGGACTTGTCCCAAGTAATTGTCTCTATAGACAGACTTATGTAAAAATGAACTTATGATATTGTGGTCCTGTTAACTTTCAATGCTAACATCACAAGGCAAAAAAACAGTTTAGGAAAATAGCATAAAAATGACTTACTATTTACTGCAATAGAAAAATTAGCAAAAAAACGCTTAATTTGTAGACTAAAATTATTTTTAATGACTGTTTTAAAACAAATTGGTGAACTGATAATAATATTGAAAGGCTCCATGTCTCTGCTTCCTATCGGTTTGATTTATGATACAGTGATAATTATGTACGTACTTTTCAGAGTTTATCTCCTCTCTTTGTAAAGTACTGAGTGTTCCCCTTCTGCTTTGCCTTGAGTTCTAATTGCCTGACACCAGCTTGGCCATCCTGTCTCCTCAGGGTTTATACCCGTGGGAATTCCTTTCCACTCGTTTATTTTTTGGGTATGTGGTTTTTTTAGAAATTATTTGTCTGTCAGCATGCTTCTTATCAATGGTAAGAGGCCGTCCTTGCTTTGCAGAGTGCCACAGTCACTGATGGTCACTGACAGTTACTGGCGGTCATGCACACGAGATGCTTGCTTCTGCTCCGCTCCACAGCGAGCGTGAGGTGCGGACGCGCTGGGCTCGTGGCTCACACGGCACCATGGCGCGGGAATGGCCCATACCTCGGTTTTTCTTTCCATCCTTCTCTGAAAGTCATTATTTTACAAGCAGATTTTAATCATCCTAACTTTTTATCTTCCCCTTAGTTTATGTTTCCTGTTGACTGATTTCCCTTTTTCCCCATTTGGACCTTTTTATAATTTTCATTTTCTTGTTTGTTTGTTGTTGTTCGTTGGTTTTTAATGAGATAATAGTTCTTCAGTATTAAAGCATTGCAATAGGTTTCTGTTCTCATGTAAATACTCTAACCTGTATATATATGAATTACAATTACAGTTAATCATAATTAGGCATTGACTTTACCACTAGATTTCAAGTCTGTGCAAATCCAACAAAAGTTTTTAGCTGGTAAATTCTAAAGTATCATTTAAGTGTTGTTTCTGTATCTGTGACTGGTGAGTGGAGGTGGGCTGGGAACATGGGGGGGGCGGTGTCTAGTGTGGCACTGTCGCACTGGGAATCAGGAGACCTAGCGTTAATTTCACTCCATTACCCGTGTACTGGCGAATGTTCCCTCCCCTCTGAATCTCCTTCTTGTCTGTGAGCTGAGGTTACCCCCTGCAGCCTCATAAGCCCTGGGCCTTAGGCACCCACTGTCTGCGCAGCACCAGATCCTGGCTGACACTCGCGCTTGAACTGCTGCTTCTCCCGAGTGGCTGCTTTGGGTCAAGTCTGCCTGTTTTTGCAGGTGGAGCGGGAGCCACATTCGGTGGGGGCAGCCCTTCCGGCTGCGCCACGTCACCACGGGGAAGTACCTGAGCCTCCTGGAAGACAAGAACCTCCTGCTCACCGACAAAGAGAAAGCCGACGTGAAGTCAACGGCCTTTACCTTCCGGTCGTCCAAGGTGAGCCGGAAACCTCAACGTTGGGTCTCCTGTAAGTGAACCCACCCCCCTCCCCTCCGTGTCAGGGGCGATGGGAGCATGTTACATGCTTTCCTGTCCCCGGGCTCTCCGGACGATGAGTGGCGTGAGCACTAAGTGCACAGTCACTCCTGCAGGGGTGCTGGGCTTTGCTCAGTTTCTGGGGCGGGTCCCAGCTCACCTCCCCCGAGCAGTGGGTTCCTGAGCATCCCCAGTAAGACAGCAGTGTCTGACTGCAGTGTCGCAGGAACAGCTGACGGGTTCAGCTGACAAATGCCAAGCAGGCATTGCATTCATTTTGTGTGATATTTGTATATTTCTGTCCTTAATTCAATGAAGATTGTGAGATTGGTCATAATGATTGGAATGGGATTGAATTACCAGTTAGCTTTGGTCTCAGAGATGCTAAACTTCACTCCCCTGTTTTAAGTAAAGGTAAGTTTGGGTGAAACCAGAGTAGCTCTGGAAAGACAGTGGCCTGTGGGTGTCCCTTGGGGCCCCTGCTTTGGAGCACACAGGTAGTGGGACATGCTTCTGACTCCAAGTCCCGAAATCTCTGGGAGAATAGCCAGCATAGGTCTCTGTTCTCTGTGGTGACAGTGAGACAGAGCTGGCCCACTGCTGTCTAATCTCAGCTCTGCATGCAATATCTGCCATGTGGACCATGGAGCAGCTCTGCAGCGGTGCTTGGGTGCACCTCAGATGGGCAGTGCTGCGGTCTCATAGTGAGCATGCATGGTGCTGAGGGCGAAGCAGGGGGTGAGGGGTTCGGAGCTTATCCACTGAGCATCACAGTCCCAAAGGAGCAATGTCATCCCAGGTAGGTCAGTGATCCCAGGTAGGTCTGTCATCCTAGGTTGGTCTGTGATCCAAGATAGGTCTGCTAGCAGAGCTGAGCGCTCTCCGTAACTGATTGTACTGAGTACCAGGGCCCTGGTTTTACAGAAGGGAAGACCAAGGGCAGGAGAAGTGAGTTACTTGCCCAGTCGCTGAGCTGGGATCACAGGAGAGCCAGTGGACACGAAGTTATCGTGCCCCAAACCACCTGGCCATGGAAGATTTCAGTGACCATGCCCAGCTGCAGGCCTGGACCCTGGGCTGGCTCGTCCCTCACTGAGCCCAGGTGGCCAGGGCTGCCACAGCAGAATTGTGCCCTGCGCCTTACCCGGTCTCACACAGCTGAGGGCCACCCACCCTCCACAGGCTCCACAGCCTGTCACTGTTGTCTAGCCTGGTCTCCCCAACCCCACTATTGCTGTAGAAACGGGAATATTGAATTCATCTTTCTTTTTCATCTTTTCTATAACAATCATATTCCCAAGGTCTCAAAAAAATCCCATTTTTGCTGTAGGAAGCTGAATTATGACACCATCTTTCTATTTGCGTTTTTTCTATGAAATCTTTATTGGCCAGGAGGTAAATGGATGCTTCTGGCAGAAAGTGGCTGGGGCTAGGTTATTCCAGCGGGTAAGGAATGCAAAAGAGAAAAGTAGTGAACAGATTTTCATACTTTCTGCCATACATGTAGCCATCGATCTAGCAACCTAATTTTTTTCTCCATTTTACAGGATAAAATAAAGCCTTAGCAAGTAAACTTTCTTGTTTTTTGCCGTGGCAGAGAGTCAGGTGTTTGACAAATGTGATTGATAGCTAAGTGGTATTAGCTACAAAATATATTGACCTGGAAATATTTCTATCAGAACACTGTTGAGTGAAAAAACACACAAGTTATAATGTAATTACAAAATGTTATTGTTTTAACTTAAGTAAACCTCTGTGTGTGTTTGACCATGACTATATAATCTGCTCCAACTTTTAACTTTGGATACTTCAGAAAGATCAAAATAGAAGGTGTGTGGGAATATGAGTGCAGGGAAAATTTTGTTTCACTTTAAAAAATATCAATATCCAGATTATTTTACCTGTCACAATAGCCATATTTCTTTGTAACGAAAAATCAGTTAAGGATAAAACACCCATTGCACTGACGTTCTTGACATGAGTTTTGTGTACATTTTTAAAAGCTGTGAATATTTCCAAAAACTCTTAATAAAAGTTCTTTCCCAAAACAATAGCCTTTGAAACATTTTTTCTCCAAGTCTCTCTCCTAATAGGCACTTGGAGAATTTTGGCTGTGTCTGGATTTTGACCATTCTGTAATGTCATAGCTTAGACGAAAAGGGCAGACGGGATCCCAGCGTTACCTTTTAGTGACTCTCAGTTTCTCTGAGTTTGGTCTCCTGCCTGGAGCTCATGCTGGGAGCCAGTGTCGTGTGCAGGCCGTTACTAACTCGCTGCCCAGTGTACTCCACCGTTCAGCTCACAGCGATAGCTGCATGGGGTAACGTGGTTGAGAGGAGGGAAGGTGAGGCTGACAGCCAGGAAAACATCTTACTTTTAAAATCACAGGAGATTCTAATTTTAAATTAATAGCCAGCTAGGTAATTACAGTTTTTTCCAGGAGATACGGACAGTAAATCTTTTTATTATTTCTTTCTAAAATTATTTATTACATATTTAATGCATAGTCATTATAGAACATTTTTTAAAAGGAATACAAAAATGTGGTAAGGGGAAATTAAAATAGTGTACAATCATCATTTAGAAACAACTCCATTGTGTGGGTATTTTAGTTTTTAACAAATATATACACATTTTGATACAAAATAAAATAGGATGAATTATATACTATGTTGTATGTAATTTTTATTTGATATACTATTATACTCGATGTTTAATAGAATTTTGGCAGTAATTCAACATCTATTATGTAATTTGTCATGAATTATTTAGCCACATCTGTTTAAATATTTAGTGAGTTTTCAGTTATGCCTTGTAAATCGAACATTTTAGTCTCCACATATTTCTGCCTATTGCTGATGCTTCCTTTTTGAAAGTTGAACAGTTTGGGTAGAGAATGTGAGGCTTTGGAAGGCTTGATTCTGCAGGCTGTCGGGGGTGGCGTCTGTCTGCACGCACACAGTCTGGCACCTGCCACCTGCTGCGCTGGTGCTGGTCCAGGCATCAGACCCACCAGACGAGGCACCTTCACATTCTGGGCTGGTTTCCATCTGCCCAGCAGTGTGTGAAAGTTTGCATTTCTGTGCAGCTTCATCCACAGATAATTTTTACACTTCTTTGCTAATTTTGACTGATAAAAAGCAATCGTATCTTATTTTAAGTTAATTTCCTAGTAGAGGAAACAGACCCATTTTGCAGGCATATTACAATGTTTGTAGGATGAGCTGAATGACACTATCACTGCGGTAAGCAGTTCCTGAAATCCCTTCTCAGTTGCTGAATGCATGTGGCTTTTACAAGCAGGTGAATGTGAACAAGATGTTGCCACACTTGATACTCTGCTCCCAAAGATTCGGACTTCTCCTCTGCAGGTGATTCCCACAGTGTGCTTTAGAATGTACTCGGATTATTTAAAATACTTCATGGATCTTAAATATATATATATCTTATATATGTTTTCTCATATGTATTTCATAGGAGCTCCTAACTCTAATATGGGCCCAAATAGGGTGGGTAGCAATAGCGTGGCCCAGCTTGTGGACTCTCGAACTTACCAGTAGATTTTTTTCTAAAACTAAGCATAAATATATTCGGCTAGGAGTGGAGAGAAGTTCCTTACTTTGAATGGTGTAGAGAATCCTGGTTCTCCTGACCCCTCTTCTGTGGGATGAAAGGGGGAGTGTGGTGTTTGTCTGATGCCCTCTACCGAGTTCCTTGAAACTCCCTGACGGCCTGTTTGGGCTCCCTCTGTTCTTCTGATCAGGCCTAAGTCGGTACAATGACTTCAGAATGTTAAAAGTGGCTTTTGCTCACAGCAATGCCTGGCTTCTAGGATGATTGTCTGGAGCTGGTGACTCAGACTCCCATTCTGATAATCAAAAGTAGAACATGACTTCTTTTTTTGTGTTTTTGGTGGTTTTCACCCCAAAGACAACCCTTTGGTGGCCATTGGGATGTCTTTGACAGTGACATGAACTCACAATAACCAATCGCAAATTCAGCATTTGGCAGACGAATCAGCAGTGGTTGGTACCTACATGTGTTCAGAATAAACAGACTGAAGTAGGAACTAGTTTGTAATATGATGTGGCTTTTTGTTTTTTTCATTTTTTTTTCAAAATATATTCCTATTGACTCCAGGGAGAGGAAGGGAGAGGGGGAGAGAGAGAAACATCAATGATGAGAGGGAGTCATTGATCGGCTGCCTCCTGCATGCCCCCAACTGGGGATCGAGCCCGCAACCCCAGGCTGTAATATGACCTGTGTTGTCCTCTTGTTTTCCCAGCTCTGTCGAGATACAATGCCGTGCAGCGCTGTGGAAGTTTAAGGTACACAGTGTTTGGTTTGGTGCCCATGTGTACTGCAGTGATCATGCTGGTCCTCTCTTCAGGGGAGCCTTTTCTGTGATGGAGAATTCAGCTTGCTTCCTGTGGGTTTTCTTTGGCCCATTTTTCACTTTTTCTGCTCCTGGAACCATCACTTTTATTTAAGTGTATTGAAATGTCAGTTTTAACCATGAGGTAGATCTTGCCAATCACATATGTATTCTACTTCCCCCAAGATGTAATTTTTAAAAAATATGTTTTTATCGATTTCAGAGAGATGAAGGGAGTGGGAGAGAGAGAAACATCAATGATGAGAGAGAGTCACTGATTGGCTGCCTCCTGAACACCCCCTGCTGGGGATCGAGCCTGCAACCCCTGACCAGGAATCGAACCTTGATCATAGGTCAATGGTCAACCGCTGAGCTACACTGGCTGGGCCCAAGATATAATTTTTAAGCTTAAAATGCCACTAAAATATTCCTCTCTGGGTAATTTCCTCCAGTTTCCCTCTCCGTGTACCACCAATAGAAACCCACTGCTACTGAAATGATAAAATACCAGCCTCAAGTTAGACTGCCAGTGAGTCACAGGATTGTTGAGCAAATGAGAAAATAGGAAGAGCACAGTTATTTTTAG